TCCTCTGCTGCCTCTGCTCGCCGCCGCTCCCGGCTCTCCTCACCCGCTGCTCTCCCTGCCTTCCAGGTTCCATGAAGAGCCCCGTGAACAAGACGGCTCTCACCCTCATTGCTGTCAGCTCCTGCATCCTGGCCATGGTGTGCGGCTCCCAGCTCTCCTGCCCGCTGACGGTGAAGGTGACTCTTCATGTACCTGAGCACTTCATTGCTGATGGTGAGTCCTGGTGTCCAACCCCTGTGCCCCGTCAGGACTGTTAGGGATGGGGGAATCTGTCACTTTGCAGCCAACTTATACCATTGCTTTATAAACTTCTCTGGGGAACCACGTCATGGGTGGTCATTTTTCCTCCTCGTCCTCAAGGGAGTTCTCCCCAGCGGGAGCTTAACCGTGCCAAACAATGAAGGTTACAGCGTGCATTGGATGTCAGCAGCCCAACAGTCCGTCTGTGTCATGGTGCAGGAAGGTGTGAAGGTGATTTGCAGGTCAGCTTGGGAAGCAGGAAGGCTGTTCTTTTTAAGCTGCATTTCTGTTTTCAGTACTAGAATTGTTCTGCCCCTACATTCTCCCTCTATCCCTGTCCCCATATCCATAGCTTTGGTGGCCTTCTACATGGGAAACTGCCCTTGCTCCACAGATCCTCCGCATTCAGCGGGAGGAGTCCCTCTTCTCAGAGGAGCGGAGCATGAATGTCTGTAGACCTGAGGCATAAATCTCAATTGTGTCATTACTATTATTAATAATAATTTGACCAGTGGGTATTTATCTTTTCCTCTGAAACTGCTGATGAGCCCTGGAAATGGCACTGAAATATTCCTGTCCTGCAAGAGGAAAGCTGTTTGTCCCAGAGCCTCCTAGCTGTATAGAAAATGAAATTGCTGGTATTTGAGCAAAGGCAGAGATGTTTTGAAGAATTAGGCGGGGGCTGCTGTCACTATTTATTGCTTTCTCCAACTGGGCTCTTCGCGTTTGTTGTGTTTCACTGACCTTTTCCACGTAATGTGCAGTGAGCGTCAAGTGCAAGTTTTCAGTAACATGAGGGCAAATTTCATTTTCTTCCTGCAGACGGGGCCCATTATTCAGTCGGTTCCAATTCTTCAGCTCCGGCGCTTGTCCGGCACCTTTGCTCTGCCCGCACCGCGCGGCGCAGAGCCCGGCTGCACCGCTCTGCTGTATCCTGGGGCTGTCCGTGGCTCTGGCGTTGGGATGGGGACAGATCTAGGGGGAATGGAGATATTGGTTAGGGCAGATGCATAAGAGCTGGGGCAACGTGTAAGCAGCAGAGCGCAAAGAGGAGGATCTTAAACCATCGCTTTATGATGGGCAGGAATTCTCCAGCCTGCTTTAAGTGGGGCTCATGCCTGATAAGGGTGGTTTTCCTTGGCCTTGCTATGAATTCACAGGATGGAGCCCGTGCTGCCCCCAGCCCTGCCGCAGAGCTGCTCATCCAACGCTCCCGCATCTCTGCCGCAACGATGCCGGTGGGAATGACGTGCTGCGCAGCCAGCGGGTTAATATCCCTGTGCAAACAGTGCTGGGGCGGGAGCCCTTCCGTACGGTAATCCCTGAGAACACTGCTTAGCTGCTAACGCTGGAAATTGCTGCCTAATCTCAGGGTACACAGGATATCCTAAAAGTCAAACTTTGGCCTTAAAGAAAAGCGGAGGAGAGGGTCTCTCTTTGGTCTCAGACTGGATGAACTGGACGTCAGGGGACATGAAAGAGGGCACTTTGACTGTTTATAAAAGACTTGCAAATATTGTCTGGTCTGAAAAGAAATATTATAGAAGGTTTCACAGATTGTCATTTTGAATAACCAGAGAACAGAAGCTCTTCTTGTATTTGGGAAACTGAGGCTGCACCAGGATTGTGTCCCTTTGAGCCCAGTGCTGACCAGCTCAGTGTGAACCTAATTCTCAGCCTGCAGCACTTAAGCTGGGACAGGAATATTATTCCCATTTCAAAACTGGTTATGGCAGGGCAGAGAGAGCCCCAGTGACCTGCAGAAGGTTAAAGAGGATGGGAAGTCAGTGGTGTAAATAGGCAAGCAGGAGCCCAGCATCCTTCTCTGGGCTTCAGCTCTAACCCAGGAAAAAAAAAACAGGCTGCAGCGTGACTCTTTAGCATTAAAGTGAAAAGGGAGCTGAGTGCTTGTCGCCAGGACAGAGGTGGCAGTGCAAATTATGCAAATACTGAGAAGGCTCGAATGCAGATGACAATGAAATACCAATAAAACAGATTAATATCTTTGAAACTGGGTGAAATGGGATGATCTCCAGTCCAGACTTAATGACTTTTCTAAAGAGGAGCTGGCAAGAGGACTGGTAGAAATGGTTTGCAGAAGAATTAAAATGAGCTTTGTAATGAAACTGTAAAATATAATTGCGAACTGCAAAAACTTTAAAAATATTTTTTTATGTGAAACAGTCAAATTCTTCATGCAGAAGCAGCGGAGACATTTTGCAGGGGCTATCAGTTTAACTGGGATTTTATCCTTTTACTCGATGGCTGAGACCCTCGTCTGGGAAGAGAAAAACGCTTCAAAGTTGTCCCCCGTCTTCCATAGCAGCAGCTTCCCAGCCTGCCCCAAGCTGGCAGCAGGGGGTTATAGGGCGTTACGGATGAGCATGGAAGTGGGCTGTGCTTGGAAACGTTCCGGGCTCCGCACCAGCACCGAGCGCTGCCTGCTTGGCCCTTGCGCTTGGCCCTTGCGCTTGGCCCTTCCTCGTGCTCCCTTCTTGCTGGTCTCTGTGCTCTGCATGGGGAGCAGGAGAGGCCGATGTTTAAAACCAGTGCCTGAGCGCTCTGTTTGGACAGCAGCTCCTGCTGCCCGTGCTGAAAGGGGAGAGCGTTTTCCCCTCCTGCGCAGGGCAGCTTTGGGGGCTGAGGGAAGAGCACGAGCCCTTGGTCTGGCTTCCTGTGCATTGCAGAGGGCGGGTAGAGCTTGTGTTGCCCAGTTTAAATTAAATCTCCTTCACCTGAGGGCGGCAGAGCCAATTTCTCCAGCCCAGATGAGACCGGGAGCTTTGATGAGACTCGGAGCAGCCTCACACGTGACACGTACGCGTGTGCCCCGTGTCTCGTGGATGCTGCCCTGCGCTCCCACAGCCTGGTTCCTTAGGCTGTGCTCTGTTGTATTTACATGATGATACTGTGAGAGAGGCAGGGCTGGGGCATTTGTTGAGACGTTCCCAGGCAAGGGAAGGATGCCCTCTAATTCCTTTTTGATAGGCAGAGTTTCAATAGATGCCAGGAGCCAAGGAAAATCTGAAAGCACAGAAGCTACCAACACCTGTGCAGGAAAAGCCAAAGATGGGGCTGAAAGAAAACCCTCTCCTAGCAGGTGGAGACTCCTCCTTGAAGACAACTCTAGCGAGACACAAGTGAGCTCCTGCTGGTACCCAAAGCCAGTGGGATGAGGAGAGAGGGGGCAGGAACCCACTGAGTGCCCCTAGAGAAGCAGCTTTTCCCCTCTTGAGCAAGCACTCAAGAGGAGGAGGAGGCTCCTGAGCACATGGGGGAAAGGGAAGGTTCAGGACCAGAAGCTCAATGGCAGCAAGGATTAGGGGAATATGCTACAACCAGCAGTGTTAATAACCAGCCTGTCTCCACGGCCCTTGTTCCCCTCTCTTGGTTCATCATCTTCATTTTGTTGGTTTGATGGGTCCGTCGCCTCCGAACGATTACTGTGTGGTTTGCACAGCTGCCCTGTCCCCGCTTTACAGGGCAGCCAAATCCGTGCAGCCGGGCACACGCTGGGCGCCCCGCGAGCAGCTCCTGCCCGGGCTGCTACTCGTGGGTGTCCTGAAAGGAGGAACCCCTTGGCCGTGCGGGGCAGAGGGAGGTGCTGGTTCCGTCCCAGCCCGCCCAGGCTGCAGAGAGGAGCAGGTGGCTCCGTTAAAACAGTAAACGTGAGGGGGAGGCCTTGACTTCTTCAGGATCTCCCATGGTCTGCAAGAGAGAGTGGGGTTCTCCCTCCTGTGCCACCTCTTAGTACATGTTGGAGCAGGTCTCTCGCTCTTTTTTTCTTCCATTCTCTCTCTTTTTTCTCTTATTTTTTTCATACAAAAGTATTTTCAGGCTCTATGCCTCCCTTTGGTTACTGCCACCCCTGCAGGGGACAGGAACCTCCCCTTGGGGACAGCTTCTGCCGTCACTGAGCAGAAGGTGCCGTTCCCATTTCAGAGCACGTTCAAACCTATAGAAAGGATCATAGTAGCTTTTACGAGGATTAGGAAAAGCAGGGCACTATTTAGAGGAATGATTTGCAGTGCTAAGGGTGGGGGTAGCAGGGAGAGCCCCTCCGCTGCAGCACTAGAGCCCCTTCTGGGTGTGTTTGCCACTCGATTTGGTGCCTTCAGTAGTTTTTCTCTCGTGAATAATCACTCAGAAAGTGGAGGCGCCAGCAATGGGAGCTGCTTGCAGAGAAACCAGGGCTGGGAAAGACACCCTGGAGGACTTGGCCTGGAGTGTGTCCTTGCTGCACGGCAGCTTGAAATATAGTATCAATTAAAGCATTTTTACAGCCTGCATGGAGGTTATGGATGGCGTGGGTGGATGTTTGTATCTGGGGTTTTAGTGGGAGCGCTAGGTGAGATCCTCTGTGGCGTATGGAAGGGAGAGCTGCATTTAGCTAGGGGCTTGCAGGGCTGTTTTATAAGTGGAAATAAAGGAAAGGGCAGAAACTAGTTTCCTGTCACATCAGAGACATCTCGGAACATTTGCAAGCTCCGTCCCTCCTCTTTGGAGACGCCTCCCGGGGACAAGGTGCTGATCCGTCACGCTGCCTGTCGCTGGGCTCCGCGCCCGCCGTGCAGGCAGGTCGGCGCGGGAAGGCGCCAGGCGTGCGGCGACGCTCCTGCCCGCGGCCCTCGTCCCCCACGAGCAGGCTGTGCTGTGGAGGGGTCGCGGGCCGAGCGTCCCCGCGCAGGGGTTTGCTGCTCCCCGGCGCGCGCCGGCACGGGTGGGTGTCCCCGGGGCGAGAGGCGGGGCGCCCCCCCGGGGGCGGG